GAGAAGCAGGCTCCCCGCTGAGCCGGGAGCCCGATGCGGGGCTCGATCCCAGGACCCTGGGATCATGACCTGAGCCGAAGGCAGACGCTTAACGACTGAGCCACCCAGGCGCCCCGACATCCTCAATTTTTGAATAGCCCTTGGAATAGACTTTTATTATCTCTTCCCTCTTCTTTGGGCAACCGTACCTCTCTTCATTTAAGGAAACGGTTTCCCTCTCGCGAAGTCACGTGGTTTGAATGGGCTGACCCTACCTCCCTGCCCGTGATTAGTCTGAAGGAGGACCTGACCCAAGAGGGCGGTGCTGGTATCTAGTCTCCGCGGCAGGGATGGGTCCCACGTTACCAACACAAGATAACCATTGGGCACTCGATGAATATTTTCCAAGATTTTTTTTTTCTCACAGTTACTAGGAGAGGCCCTTTCCCTATCTGATGGAAAACGTGAGCATTCATTATCCCAGCCTTGTGGAGAAGCTACAGTATAAAATGAAGTTGTCACAGAGTCACTGGACTGTCTCCCACCATTGTCTTTCTGCTCTTTGGCAACAGGAACCAAGAGGCTCACTTCGGCGCAGGTGGTTCCAATTGTGTTTCTGTCGCTTGTAACCAGAGGAATCCTAATTGAAAGAGCCCCAAAACGGAAGACTTCAAACAGAAAAGGCCATGCTCGTACTTTCTGGGGGACTCACTAAACTAGTTTCGTGAATCACTCTTCCCTTTTGCATACAGAGCAGGAGTTGCAAGTGCCATGCCTGGGGGGAACCACAGGTAAATGGAGATGACAAAGGTAAGTATCCCGCCCCACCCCCAGGAACTCTGAGTGCCAGTTGGCCCCACCCCTTGGCCCTCCAGGCCTTAACTATTGGCCATGAGGACCAGTCAGAGCTCCAAGCATGGGTCCTCTGGGATCCCAGATTCTCTTTGATTCTCTCTCATTTCTGTCTTCCTGAAGATGGTAGTTCCTCGTTTAAGTTATTATGTCTGGACTCTGTCAACATCTACTTCCTGCTCATTTAGCTTTCCAATATTCACCGAGTTCTGTGTATTAAATTCCTTCGGTCTGAAATAATTAACATGGCTTCTGTTTTCTTGACTCAACCCTGACTGGTAACAGTCATTAGAACCAAAAGTTTACTTTGTCTGCTAGAATTTCTTTTTCTGAAATTATAATGTGAAAAATAATTTCTTCAAATGCCAAGATCCTTGCTGCAAGAAATAGTTACCAAACAGCCACAAAAAGCTCTCCTGTAAAACAGATATGATTATTCTGTTACTTAAATCAAAACCCTCATGATTCATAAAAAGACTAGACCTGGGGGTGCCTGGCTGGCTCAGTGGGTTAAGTGTCTGCCTTTGGCTCAGGTCATGATCTCAGGGTCCTGGGATTGAGCCCCTAGTCAGGCTCCCTGCTCAGGAGAGAGTCTGCTTCTCCCTCTCCCTCTACTGCTCCCCCTGCTTGTGTACTCACTCTCTCTCTCTCTGTCAAATAAATAATAAAAATCTTTGAAAATAAAAGACTAGACCTGAAGTATCTGTCATAAGTGGCATTTATATCCCTAAATCTCTCTTCACTCTTTTTGAATCTATTTCTAAACGGGCCAACCAAAGTCAACACTTAGGAACCCACATTCTAAGGAATGTTCTGACAATTATACCAGTGGTTTTGGGTCTGGATTTAAGATGACCTAGTAAGTATTTAAAATTTTTTTAAATATGTATTTAAAAATACTTAAATATTAAGTATTGAAGTATTTTAAATCAATTTGAAATGAATTATTTTTTATTTAAAATTTAATAAGTATTTATAAGCTAGCTCCATTTGTGGGAAGGATACAGTAATTACTCATACTAGAATAGGAGCCTTCATTTTAGGGCAAAATTCACCCGAGGAGATTGTGAGAAGTTTAGATATACAAACACGTGTTTCTAAAAAATGGAATTATGTTATTTTTCCCCCTAGAAACACCTACACCAAACTAATAATTATGTCTGTTTCTTGGGTATAGGAATTATTTTATTACTGTCTTTTCTTTTTATGATTGGTACATATTACTTTTCTTATAATGAAAAACATATTTTAAAGTTCCTCCAGGGCAAATTTAAAAGACTTGAATTTTATTTTTATTTATTTTTTTTTAAAGATTTTATTTATTTATTTGACAGAGACAGAGACAGCGAGAGCAGGAACACAAGCAGGGGGAATGGGAGAGGGAGAAGCAGGCCTCCCGCCGAGCAGGGAGCCCGATGTGGGACTCGATCCCAGGACCCTGGGATCATGACCTGAGCCGAAGGCAGTCGCTTAACCAACTGAGCCACCCAG